CCGCCCTGCGGAGAAAGCTCATTTCGGCCGCCTGTATTCGGGATCTTGCCCTTTCGGTCATGACCATAGGTGAGAGTCGGAACATAGATTGACCAGTAAATCGAGAGCTTCGCCTTACAGCTCAGCTCCTTCTTCACCACGACGGACTGGTACATCGACTGCATTGCTGCAGAAGCTGCACCGATCCGCCTGTCAATCTCCCGTTCCATCCTTCCCTCACTCGTGAACAAGACCCCAAGATACTTGAACTCCTCCACTTGAGGCAGGAACTGTCCACCAAGCTGAAGGGTACAAGCCACCCTTTTCCGACTGAGAACCATGGCCTCAGATTTGGAGGTGCAGGGCAGCCCTGCCGGAGTCCAACATGCACTGGAAACAAGTCTGATTTACTGCCGGTGATGCGAACCAAGCTCCTGCACGCTGGTGGCTTCAATGTTCATACAGGGACCGGACGGCCCTTAGCAAAGGGCCCCGGACCCTGTACTCCCGGAGCACCCCCCACAGGGCGCTGTGAGGGACACGGTTGAATGCCTTCTCCAGATCCACGAAACACATGTGGACTGGTTGGGCAAACTCCCATGAACCCTCCGCCACCCTGAAGAGGGTATAGAGCTGGTCCAGTGTTCCACGGCCAGGATGAAAACCGCACTGTTCCTCCTGAATCTGAGGTTCGACTATCGGTCGAATTCTCCTCTCCAGTACCCTGGCATAGACTTTCCTGGGGAGGCTGAGGAGTGTGATCCCCCTATAGTTGGAACACACCCTTCGGTCCCCCTTCTTAAAAAGAGGGACCACCACCCCGGTCTCCCAGTCCAGAGGCACTGTCCCTGACCGCCATGCGACGTTGCAGAGGCATGTCTTATTAGGTACACCTGTATAACTCTGCACTTCAATGCAACATTTCCACCTTAACATCTGTGCTGATGAAGCTCAACATGTTTGTTTTTGGTGAAATTGTCATAAATGTATACATTTAATTATATGTTTAAAGGTGGAGTTGTACTGGACTACATTATATTCAGAGGTGTCTCTATATGTTTGTCCTCCCCAGCTACATAGAACAGCAGGCCAGATTATTAGGAACACCTCTGAATATACTGTCACAGCTGGAGAAGTGTGTGTGAGCTTACTGCAAGTCCTGATTCTGGTATTTAACAAGTGCTCAAAGCTGTCAGTGCTCCGTTTTTAATCGCCACCTTTTTGCATTGTTTTTGGTTTAATTAACTTGTGACAACATGAGCTGTGATGTCTGGAGAATGAGAACTCATTTTACAGCTCCAACAGTCATGTTATAAGATGTTGACGCCTCCTGGGGTACTATCAGACGCTCTGCACGCTGGTGGCTTCATGTGTTCAAAAACATGAACATTAAAACATCTAAATCTATGATGCTATATGAAAATACGAGTTTACACTGTGGCAGTCAAACCATCTGAAACAGATGACAAAGCAGCAGGAGCCTAATGTTCAAGATGATGTTTAACAATAGATTCCTACTTAAGACTAATTTATGAGAAGTTACAATTCAAGAAGCGATTAGTTTCATGATTACGTTTGTTTCTAACGCTACCAGATTTATGGAGGAGTTTGGGGACTTGTATACAGCTCATTAACTTTACACATGGCCAAAGAAGTGGAACAACAGCCAGCAGCAGCCTGATTTTAAAAGTGATTATCGCAGTAAACTTCATGTATTACTGCTACAACTTCACCAGAAAATGTTCAATTTAAGTTAGCGCAGCTCGAGTTCTACAGTATGTTGAATGTTGTTTGTTCTCATAAAAGCAAAAGTAACCTGCTGGAGTTTGGTCACTTTCTAACAGCAAAAGAAACAAGGAGCTCATAAGGTGAAACACCGTGGGCTGTGCTTGGTGCTGAAGAGAAGAACCTCAACAACCTTTGACTCAGGAACCTAAAACACTGACCTCAGCGTCGACCCCTTGAGCAGCACTTGGCGACAGTGGAGAGGAAGAAACCTCTGACAGACCCCGACTCTCGGTGGGCGGCTGTACTGCCTCGACCAGTTGGGGTGAGTGGATAGTTTTCATAGTCATCACCTCATGGAAAACAAAGCAAATACACCCAAAGTGAGTGTCTCAGAGCTTATTTAGTGTCTGAACCGTCTGTCTCTGCCAGGCTTCCTCCCTCCCATGAACCTAAAACACATTCCCAGTTGGTATCACAGCTACCGCGCAACAGAGCTCTGACAACAATCCCATCTACCTATGAAACTGCTAAACATATCCCCACATCAGTGATAATACGTTGCAGGGGCGAGATAAGTTCCCCTGCTGGGAGGCCTCCCACATATGGAAAATCTAATAAGCACATGAAACGCAACACTTTCCCTCCCCAGGCCTAACTGAAGCGCGAGTCTCCCCCTTGAAACTTGGCAGAGCAAGACAACTCAGAAATGTATCCCTAAAGTAAAATAAAGTTATTAAAATCTGGGTGGTGATGATTTTGAAAACAGTACAACTACACTTATCACGACAGACTTACAACAAACTACAACTCTAACCGCTCCAAATAGAACCGCTCATTAATCTAACCACAAGTTCCACCCTGGTTCTTCCACCATTTAACGATGGAAAAATGACCCAGCTTTGTGCAACTCTGTGGTCAAGTTCCAAAATTCAAGCAAAGTCTTCAAACAAATCCTTCCAACTCCAGAGGAAAGGTTACAGTTCAGTTGCTGCAGTCATCTCATCCAAGGTGGTGGCAGACTCAGGTAAAGCTGACTGACCTTCCCTCTACTGATACAGTCCCTTCAAAGAGTTCATCAAGTCAGTCTCAACTCTACAGGCCAAACACATCGGTGCAGACGTCCACAGCAGCCTCATCTCCGATGGAGCAGTTATAGTCCTGTTTGCATCATCAGGTTGTTTTCTCCAGCTTCAGTTTCCTAAGGGTAGACATCAGTCAAAAAAAAAAAAAAAAAAAAAGTCAGTCCCAGGTATAAAGACAATAAAGATTTAATGAAGTGG